AGACTAAACAGTCCTGACTTGATTTCAAGATTACCCAGCAAGTTGGGAAGAAGCTAAACTCACAGTCCAGTTTCTGAACTCAGTCTAGTATTCTCTATCAGTTTTCTTCTAAAGTATGTGAGATGACTTTTCTCTCATTCTGTGACTCCCCTCCAAGCCCCCTCGAAGCTTTCTGGAAAGGAATCAAACATAATTATGAACAAAGAGGCTTGTGAACTGAGTGGGTGCAGATTCGTGGCGCTGGCAGTGCCCTGGGTCTCCGCTGCAAGCCGCCAGGTCTCCATTCTGCTGAGGACACTGGGCAAGGTGTAGGAGCTCACAAGAACAAGCAGGGCAGAAGCTGCCATGAGACCCTTCAAATCCTTTACCCCTCCTTATTTTGTTACTGGTCACCTTTCTGCCTCACTTACGTTTTTCCCTCTTTATATTTACTGTTACTTACATTTATATTAACATGCCTCAATATGTGAAAGCACGGACTTACACATTAAGGACACAAACATCCTCTTCCGAGGCTCACAATCTTGCCCTAATTTCAAAGGTTAAGACAATAATGTATAAAATAAGTGAATGTGATAAACCTCCTTGGAGAGATGAAAAATGTTATGGTGGTTTATAGAAGAAATTCAGTCATATACCTTAAATTTAAATGAACTTATTTATTGTGAAGCTTAAAATGCTAAGTATTCTCTATGAACAGATTTTACACCTGCATGAAAAAAGCCTTCACAATATTAGAGGATGTGTGAAGGAACCACAGCTTTCCTTATTTAACACTGACACAACATTTGCCATGGAAAATTCTCAGGAAACTGTGGTTTTCACACACCTCCAGTTTCTTCCATTTCAAATAAATTACATAAAAAAAGGGAAAACACCTCATCTTTTTATGGAAAAATTTTATTTTGGCATCTGGGTATTTATTATGAACACAAGCATTTGGTGTTCAATTCTGAAAGGAATTTTGAGAATGTACATGTGAATATAAACAAGTCTAAAAATGAAAAAGCTCTCTTACATGCACTGTTCATTCCTGTGAAATGCTGCCTAGAACAAAGGGACTCTTAACGCAGTGGTAGAAGTAGAATGCTGGTATGTTTCTGACATTAATTAGACTTAATTTCAATTCTAGGTTTTACCTAAAGATATATGAATGTTTGTATTTGTTAAAAATATCTAGGGAGGTAATATGAACCAGTCCTTTCAGCTGATTCAGAAGAACTGTGGCAACCTAAGGCTCTGAGTCCACACTTAAGGCAATGGGAGACCTTTCTAGATTTGTTCAGGTTGTATAAAACCTAGGACACCATGTTTCCAAAATGTAGTCTGACCGACAGGGGACCCATTCCAGGATTTTCCCCTAAACTTCTGTTTTTTTGGGCAGGACCAGGGTTTAGACCTTGGACCTGCCATCTTCTAATGACTGACTACAGGTGTATTTTTGACCTTTCTGGGCCTCTGTGTCTCATTTGTTAAATGGAATTATTATCATCTTCCCAGAGAAAGCTAATGTATAAAAAGCATCTAATGAGTCAGGCAACTAGTAGATGTTAACAGATATTAATTTGCTTCCCCTTATCCTGTAGTTGTTTACTATAACTATCTTTTACTCCCCAGAAGATGACATATTCCTCTAGAAAATACTGTGTCTCCTATTCCCTTCCTATATTCCACACTGCCCGGCTGATGGCTTTGCAAGCAACAGATGTTTTTAATTGAGAAGCTCCTGAAATTCTGGCACCAGCTGTCTGGAAATGTCAGAATTATCATCCTTCAACTCTCTAGCTTTAAAATTTCATCATATACATATTAACTGCCTACTTAACCTTTCCACCCCTTTTCTGCATTTTCACTATTACGACTACACACACACGCACACACACAAATCCATGTGTGTGCACATATACACACCTGAATGCTTTCCACATGAGATCACTGTTGCAAGATTAACTGAGATAAGACTGTATATGGAAGAACTGTGCAAGTTGTAAGATATTACACACATTAGTTTGCTCTGCTCTGCTCATCAGACAGCCTCAAATGTGCAGAGCTCTATGTAACAGACTTCATTTCTGTGAGGTTATCTTCCACTGAGCAGCTTTTCTATGACACACTGAAGAACAATCAGTCCTCCCTCCACAACACTGCTATCTGCCTCATTTTAAAGAAAATTAGCAAATTTTCATACACAAGAACCAAATCGAGTGGAAGAACATCACAAATGAAATAAAATACTAACAGAACAGGTGAAATCAAATAGCTTGGGAGGAATCTGAAATGGTTTCTTAAGCACAGCAGTCTCCCTTGGCTTTAAATCCCTGCAGGATTCCATCAAGAACTTTGATGAAATAAAACAATTTTTCCTCCCTTCCTCTCTACCTTCCCTTCCTCCCTTCCTTTGTTTGGAGGAAGGTACTAACAGGGCAAAAATATAACCAGGTTTCACTTGACACTTCACAGTGAGATCCTAAACTTTTTATCTGAACTGCTATTAAAAATCTCATGACTACAAATATGGTCATATGCAAATGATTTTACTTATACAAAGTAACAATGATAAGCTAACGTAGACATTTGTTTCCCCATTTTTTGGACAAAAGACATTTCACACAATGGAAAAGCTGAACAAAGGGTTGTACGTAGAAGATACTCTAAAAAACTGATGTGCTTTAAAAAAAATGTTTATTTTTTGAGAAAACGCACACGTGCACGAGCAGGGGTAGGCAGAGAGAGAGAGAGAGAGAGAGAGAGAGAGAGAGAGAGAGAGAGAATCTCAAGCAGGCACCATGCTGTCAGTGCAGAGCCCGATATGGGGCTTGATCCAGCAAACCATGAGATCATGACCTAGCAGAAATAAAAAATCAGACGCTTAACTTACTGAGCCACCCAGGCACTCCTAAAAAATGTACATGACACATGTACTAATATTAACCTTCCAAAGTGAAAACAATCAGGCTAGGAAGATAAAAAAAAAAAAAAATACAAACATTGGATTTTTTTATCGTGGGTATTTTCAAATACTGCCAAGTTTTACTGTTAAGAGTTTAAATGGAAACTTATTATTATTAGGATACTACATTGCTTTTTAGTCTCACCGTAAGTGAAACATTAATGAAATACTTCTAGAATTTAAATTTAGCATCCAGAAAGTTCGAAAAATTTATTTCAGTAAAATCTTAAAAGATTATTTTTTTAAACTCTCAAAACAAAAATACATTCTATGATATTTTTACAGTTACCACTATTCTATTTAACATGTATGTCACCATTATGCCTGAGATACAGACCAAACTACAGTTTAAAACCATAATAGGATCAAATTTTTTCCTTCTCTTCATGAATAAAATCCTATGAAAAATTACTATAAAATTATGCTGCTACAAAATAGAGAGGCTGTTGTAAAACCACATTCAAGACTTAAGTGGTTTTTTTTTTTTGGTTAATGTTGGACAATGACAACAACAACAAACTCTCCCTCCCTTCAAACAAACAAAACTCTTTTATGTTCTTACCATCTTAAAATGCTTTAAAATTCAGAGATGCCTGGGTGGCTCAGTCCAGCTCTTGATTTTGGCTTAGGTCATGATCTCACGGTCATGGGATCAAGCCCTGTGTAGTGCTCTGCGCTGAGCATGGAGCCTACTCGGGATTCCCTCTCCCTCTCTCTCTGTCTCTCTCTCTCTGTCCCTACCCCATCTGTGTGTGCACTCTCTCCCTCTCAAAATAAATAAACATTTTTTTAAAAAATGCTTTAAAATTTGACATGTCTCATACCAATTGTAGAGAAATCAGTGGGCAAACTGACATTCATAGTTGGAGATTCCAACACGTGTCTCTTGGTACTCAATAAAACAAGTAGGCAGAAAATCAGTAAAGAAAGAAATCACCTGAACAACACCAACAACTAATGTGACCTACCTGACATTTTTAGGACACTGATCCCAAGAGAAAACATATCGTTTTTAAGTGCACAGGAAATATTCACCAAGATAAGCCACGTTCTGAACCATAACACTAATAAAAATCAGAGAAAATGTGCTCATGGATCATAAAGGGAACAGTAATGAAAAGATACCTAGAAGATCCCCTAATTGCTCAGAAACTGAACAATACACTTAGAATTAAACCACAGGTCAAAGATGAAGTTTCAAAGGAAAATTAAGTTCTTTGAAAAATTGAGTTCTTTGAACTCAAGAAGACGAGAATACAACATACCAAATTTAAGGGTGCAGATAAAAGAGTGCTTAGAGGTAACTTTATAGCACTACGTGCTTCTGTTACAGAAGAGGAAAGGTCTAAAATCAGGGCCTGAAGTTTCCACATTAAGAAACTAGAAAAAGAGCAAAATGAACACAAATGCACGAAACAAGAAGCAATACGGGTTAGAACAAATGCCATTGAAAGTGAAAATAGAAAAACACAAAAACATCAATTAATCCAAAATCTGTTTTCAGGTTGGAACTCTTATATGTAGACACTACAGAGTGAGTGGAAATGAAAAAGGGGAAACAAGAAGGGAAAGAGAAAGGGGGGGGGAATAGTATGGTGCAGAACTGGTTTGCAGTCCTAACTGTGCCACGTAACAGTAGTCTCCTTGACTCAGCTCACTCCATGCTTTCTGATCTTCCGTTTCCTCATTTGTAAAAACAGGGGTAAAAATAATCTTTCAAAGAGCAGTAAATATGTTGATTAAATAAATTAGTAACAAAAATTACTTGGAAAAAAATAAAAATACTCTTTGTACTCATTAGTAAGAATAAGAGACTAATTGTTGTCTCACATAAATGCCACATTTTAAGTTCAACATACCTTTAAGGACTTTGAAGGTGTGATGTTACAAGCAAAGCAGTATTCATAAATTACCATAAAATATTTTTTTAGTGGCAGTATTGGAGCTCAAGTGGGGAAAAATCATCATACATTAATAGTAACTGGCTGGTTGGTAAGTTTTCAAGGAAAAGGGTGACAAGAAAACGAAAGTCAACCAATTATAGATATACCTTCTTGCAGATTTTTTCGAAGTTGATATCATCACCGAGAGCAGATTTAGTTACTATATCAGGTTTCAATTCCTATAAAAAAAATAAAGTAATTTTAGTTATGAGTCTAATTTTAAAGCATCATTCATTACTAATTATTATGAGGTACATTCCTTCCCATGTTTTGCTTTTAAGAAATTTGATATTAAATAAGTTCTTAGTTTTTAGACGAGAATAACTCCTATCATAGTAATAAATTATCATACTCTGAAAAACCACAGAAAAAGGAATTTAAGAGCTAATCCTCCTAAGATAATTACACTCAGATTCCAAGGAAGCCAGAAAATTCAATGTGCCAAGAAATCTCTACCATAATAAAAACTCTTTAACTGAAATAAGATTAAAATAATTCAAAATGTTAATTTAAGATTTCAAGATTAAAAGAAATTACTTATTTCAATGACATTTCAGGACATTGGCAATTATATCATTTTATATCAAAATGTAAATCTTTATAGAGAAATACTTAATTTTAATTATTAAAAAAATCTAACCTACACAATACTTTTATATTATGCAAAGAGCTTATTTTAGAAAATTGAAAAACAGAAAAGCAGAGAAAAAATAAGTAAAATTACTAGCACTGTTTATTTACATGGTTACAATTCTATTACACACTCTTGTACATGCTTCTTTAAGAGAATTTAAGTTTGATATACATTTCACTAAGTAACAAAGGGTGACTTTAGACCATACAAAAATGAAGTTTCTCTTAACAGCTATCAAGTTATTCCATTGTGCAGGAAAAAATACAGTGAACATTTGCATATTTTTTTTTCATAATATTGTTGAGAAGACAGCTAAATAAAAAATTAGCTAGTTGGTTTTAAAACAACATTGACTGACAGTGAGGTAGACATGTGTGATATGGTAAAAACTGTGTAGGTACTATTACACGAAAATGATTTAAATTATATTTTAAATAAAAATAGAACCATAGCATTTTGTGAGCTAGCTTTATCATCTAATGACAGGGCCAATGTTTATCCTTTTTTTTTTTTTTCCCATTCTCTTACATCACTGTCCTTATTTGTTCAACCAAACTTTTATTATTGGACATATTTTCTGATTTTTATCTTTTAATAAATAGGAGCAGAATGATATCCTTGTATGTACTGACTTGTGTATCTCCTGAAAAATGTCCACATATTCTATATTAAATAGCTGTGTAAAACTATGTTTTTGGGAAGAGGAGAATGGAAAAAAAATTAAATATTGATAATTATGATCCAATGTCATAAAGATCAGAAAGCACAGTTTCTGAGAATATTCATTCTTATTGTATATACACTAATATGACTGTACACTAATATAAATATTTAAAAAATCTATATAAACAGCATAAAAAGAAAAGACTCTTTTAAGTGTGTGTGTGTGTGTGTGTGTGTGTGTGTGTGTGTGTGTATGTATACATAATACGTCTTTAGGAACTGATGAATTAATATGAAAGATTAGCTTCCCCGAGGTAGTTTAAAGTCAGTAAAATTATTTACAGTACAGCTAAAAAAAAAAAAAAATCCAAATCTTAAGACTTGCCCTGCTTTTGTCATTGGCTGGCTATAAGTACTTTTTTCTACTCTGTAAGTGAAAAAGTCATTCTAAAGATTGAATCAGTTAAATTTTATTGCAAATATGAACATAATGCTTCCAGAAGGGAATGATGTTGGCTAAATCTCAAACCATCCACATACTCCCTCCTAAAGAATAAATTCAACAAGGACTACAAGAACCAAGCCTTCTTCATTATTAGGAGATACAGGATAACGGAAACTTCAAAACATCAAGTTGAGAAACTTAACACCAAATTCAACAGAGCACTCACTGCATCACAATCTTGTGCACACAAAAAGCCAGGGAATACAAGATTAAGAAGACTCTGGGAGAAAAAAAACGTGAGTGAAGGACATACATGAATGACAGACAAAAAGCACCACTAGAACTACAAAACAAAAACTACTACAGAGAGTCAAAATGGATACAAGACTGAGACTTGGTAATTCATAGCAATGGCTACAAGGGAGGACTTGAAATCAAGTCGTTCTGAAGGCAGGGGCTTCAAGAAGCAGGCACAGAATCAGATAAATAGGGGCTTTGTTCCTCCTTTCAGATATAATGATGAAGGTAAAGGAAGAAAGAGAGAAATTAAGGGCCCTTTGTAGACAAAAGAAAAGACAGGTAAACTAATTCCTCCTTATCAATATTCATTAAAAAAAAAGATATATGGTGGATCCAGATGGCTAGGATTTCAAAAAAAATTAAATTCATATAAAATTAAGAAGAAAACAAAATGTAAATAAAAACACTTTATTTCATAGATTCTCTCCTAAAATTATGAAACAAACAAAAACTGTAAACACCCTCCAAACTGTATTAGGGAGTCTCAAACAAGCATTTGGATTTATACAAAAAATATGCAAAATTAGAAATTAAGACACTAAGAACAGAAACAGGTAGAACAAAGAAATACATGAACAGCTGATAAAGTTTAGGAAATAAAATGAAAGAAAAGAAAAATAAAACATCTCAGAGATGGAGAACAGATTCAAAGAAAAATTCAATAAAGCATCTTGAAGAAAATCAACTGGGGCAGTTAGGTGGTGCAGCTGGTTGAGCGTCATCCAACCCTTGATTTCAGCTCAGGTCATAATCTCACAGTGTCAATGAGTTCGGGCCTGATGCTGGCTGTGAGCTGATAGCATAGTGCCTGCTTTCCCCCTCCCTCTGCGCTTTCCCTGCTTGCATGCTCTCTCTCTCTGTCAAAATAAATAAATAAACTTAAAAACAAAAATAAAAACCAAAACCTGGGAGGCTCAGTTGGTTGAGTGCCCGACTTCAACTCAAGTCGTGATCTCACAGTTCGTAAGTTCAAGGCCTTCATCGGGCTTTCTGTTGTCTGTGCACAGCTCCCTTCGGAGCCTCTGCCCCCTCTCTCTGTGCCCCGCTCCTTCTCATGCTCTGTCTCAAAAATAAATAAACATTAAAAAAAGAAAAATAATTTTTGAAGAAAGTCAAGAAAACTACCAAGAAAATGAAAATGAGATAAAGAAAATAGCAAAGGAGGATCCCACATATCTATAATTGATATCTCTGAAGATGAAAAACAAAACAATGAAAGAAACCAATACTTAAAACTGTGATTCTAAAAAAAACAAACAATAGAAAACAAACAGTAGAAAACTTAAAAACAGAAAACATTTTGTTTGGGAAAACAAACAATAGAAAACTTAAAAAACAGAAAAGCTAAAATGAGTTGCAATGATCAATAATGCAACCTATCTTTGTAAAGCCATTAGACATTAAAAACAAAGAAAAAATCTTCAGACTGGAGGCAAAAATAACAATTTAGTTTAAGAGTAAGAAAATAAAGGTTGTTATCAAGAATAATATTCAAAGCGAGTTCAGAGAAGCATTTTCAAGGTAAGCAGGTTCAAGCAAAGGATTTTATACCTAGTCAAGCTGCTCTACAAGTATCAAGTCTACAGGAAAAAGTTTTGAACCTGCAAAAATTCAGAGAATGTTGCACACATCTGCCTCTCCAGAGGAATCTTCAAGAGGAAAAGCTTTGGCCAACAAGAGATAACTTTGGTAAAAGGACTGATGATGAGTATCTATTTGCCGAGCTATAATGAAAACAAATATGGGGGCACAGGATAAACAATTGAAGGTAAACTTGACATAATCTAAGTAAAATGAAAATGCAGTTGAAAAAATAGGAGAGAAAGGGAGAGTAGAATAAGATCACTCATTGACTACTGTTTAGGTAATATGCAGGAGTCAAAGGACAGGGTTTAAAATGGACTGGAAAGTAAAATATTACATAAGAAAATGGGAAAGTAAGGGCATTATATAAAATATGTAAATACAAAGATAAATAAACCACAGAACAAAAATATGTATCTTTCTAAATACCACAAACTTCTTAAACATTGCAAAAACAGACATCTAGACAAATACAACATACAATACCCAATAATTAGAATGTACAATATTATGACAGAGTTGAGAACACAAGGAGTATATTTTAATGTGAATTAGTTTAATGTACCTACTAGAAGGAAAAGATGTCCAGACTAGATCAAAAAGCAAAACCCAAGTCTATGCCATTTATATGAGACACACAAAAATGTTACTCAAAAACGCTAAAAATGAATTTGCAAAGATACATGAGGCAAATAGAAACAATTAGAAAACAAGAGTTGAGATCATGTATCAGATAAAAAATAATTTAGATAAAGACAAAAAATGTTGGGGCGCCTGGGTGGCTCAGTCGGTTAAGTGCCTAACTTTGGCTCAGGTCATGATCTCGCGGTCCATGAGTTCGAGCCCCGCATCGGGCTCTGTGCTGACAGCTCAGAGCCTGGAGCCTGTTTCCGATTCTGTGTCTCCCTCTCTCTCTGACCCTCATCCGTTCATGCTCTGTCTCTCTCTGTCTCAAAAATAAATAAACGTTAAAAAAAATTAAAAAAAAAAGAAAAAATGAAACAAGACAAACAGAAAACTACAGAATATGGAGAAATAGAAATACGTTACTAACAGAAGACTTTCACACAACTCTCCATTCAACAGATCTCAAAATAAGAGGAAAAAGGCATTAGAAAGTCTTAACCTAATAAGGTATATCTATCTGTCTAATGGATTTCTTACCAACATTATGCTCTTATAATACAAATTATACCTTCTCAAGCATACATGGAACATTAAACGATTGATCAAATATTAAGTCAAAGTAAAGTAAGTATTATCAAGCAAAGTATGAACAATACTCCCTGATCACAATGAAAAAGTAGGAATTAAAGAAAATCACCTATAAACAAAAAAGCTCTCCTACCAGGAATTTTTTAAAAAACAACAAAATCCTCAAACAACTCTTGAGAAAGGGAAAATATAAACAGAAATTTCAGGGTTTCTGAAAATTAATAAGGAAACACTATATTTTGGAACTTACAAACTTAAAAACAAAAATAAAAACCAACAGGAAGTAGTTTTTATTCTTTTTTTTTTTTTTTAATAAAATGAGGATTCCTGAATCTTTT